GGAACTAATGCAAACAATTTAGTTTTACATACCCCAAGCAATGAGGACAACCCTCCAAGCTCTTACAGTACCCTTTTATTTCATCCCATTCCTCCATAATATAACGCTTACAGAACTTAAACCAGGGATGTTGGAAAGCATGTAATAAGGTAACCATTCATCTACTAAAGATCTCATTGGTTAAATACACTGTGGGCTCTTCAGTATTAAGTTTAGCTTTTACACTGCAGAGACTGCATCAAAGCCTCCTCCCTGGGCATGGAGTAGGCTGCCCTGCTCTCTCAGCTCCCAGGGAGGAGCCTTCACTGCCTTGCTTCAGCAAAAAACGCCTCAACAGGAACCAGCTGAGTTTATCGGGTAAATGATTATCGATTAAATGCTAACATCCCTAACTTAAACCATTTCCCTCTTCCCTGGTGTGTAAACTCTTCTCTTTTTTGTACATTTATATTCCCCCTTAACTTAATTAAATTATCTATGTGCTCAGTCTTCTCAAGCATTACTGTATCTCCCTAATCATTCCTTTAGGTCCTCCAACTTTCAAGCAAAGTTTTACTCAGAATCCAACACCATGGGTCTGCACTTTATGTGAAATGGAGGTATTATTGAAATTTCATTTTCTAATCAAATATTTGTGCACACAAATGCCTATTAACACATACAGTTACCTAACTGGTGAATGAACACAATGTAAGCATATACCTCCATGAAAACTGCTGCATGCACCAACTCGTGAAAAATAAGGTCTTAGTATGCCAGTCTCTTAAATGAAGGAGCCCAGTAAAGAGTCAAGAAAGAAATTACTGCTTGTTTGTATGGGCAATTTTTGTATCCTTGAAAACATTTAGAGAATTTCTTAAAAGCAGAAAAAATTTGCATGCCTAATGTTAACTCAACAGTTTCTCAAAGATGCCATTTGTTACAGTGTTACTATCTTTCATATTCTGCTATTCCAATGGAGATTATACATCTTAGACATGAAATAACTTACTGAAAAATGCCAACATGAAGATGCCATCATTGCCCACTCTAAGTTGATCTGCATCACTGAAGTCATCCCGAGGTGGATATTCTTCTTCCTGGATTTACACATTGGAGACACGTTAGTGAAGGAAATTTAATTTCAGATTAATGCATTGTCTTGTAGATTTAAACCATTAATTGTGTTTTTAAAAACATGTGAGACAGCCATTTAATAAATGAAAAACTCAGAGCAAAATTATTAAACTTATATTCAAATGGAGTCTATTGCTTTACTATGATAAAGCCCAGGTATCAATAACATTGATCTATAAACTTCAGATAAACTGAAACATGCACAATTGGAAGCGGTACATTCAATTTAAATTGAGCTACATGTTACTTGGTAGCCAAATTCTGTTCAACAGTTAGCAGAAAAACATCCATCCATAGAGTTATACTATGATTGAATTTAGCCCAATGTATTTTAACATTCCTCATCCATATACTCAGTGTGAACAGAAGAAAATATTCACATTATAATTGCCAATAAAATATGTAAACATAATAAGTAATGTCTATTTTCATCATTTATATAGTTCTTTTCTTCAAAACAGAGAATTTCTCCAAGTTGCCAAGGTATTCACATTTTTATGGTGACTAATAATATTTATCACATTAGACACACTTGACTTATTTTTCCTGAATTTCAAGGGATCTTATTTTCAGAGCCACAAAATTCTGAGGCTTGAGGATGGGGAGAGAGTGTTAAAGTAAAGATGCCATCTTCCATCACAACATACTCTACAAACAGGGATGTATACTGCAGAGACATTTTTAAATAATTCCCATTATCACCATTTTAGCTCCATATTTCTAAGCCATTTTCGTGTAACTACAGTTCAATCACAAATATGGTTGAAGACTAGATTTTAAGGGTCTCTACTGGAAGTTTCAGATCCCAGAGTTAGCAAGAAGTTTGTATTTGTTCAAATTGTGAGACCTATAAAAATCGAACATAATAGGTATTAAGAAATTTATATGCAAGAAGCATGAAAGCATTTTCATTTATCTTTTTAAAGTGAGAGCTTCACATGATCAGTTTTTGGGGTAGAGTAGAGGATGACATGACAACATTTTACACTACCCAAGTAGAATAAACGGAAATAACATTTAGAAGCTTTAAAACTGAAAAGTAAGTACTGTATTTGGAATAAGAAAAGTCAGTTTAGTACAACACACAGTTAAATACTTTGGTTTCCTAAGATGCTAAACTTACAGAGTCCCAAATTCAGAAGTTTATGATTGTACACACACTTTTTAAATACTTAAAGTTTAAATAAAATGACTATACCATTAAACATATCCAACCAAATTTAACCAGTACACATTTTATATTAGAGCTGTCTTTTCCTGAGAAAATACTTAGCTTTGCTAACAGATAGTCCCTAACTACACTGCATTAGGGTTTCCTGATCAACATTCTGGGAAATTCTATCAAAAACAAAACGATCTCACATGTGCCCACATGCTTCAAAATAAAGCAAAGAGAAGTAAAAGCTTCAGTAACATCCTGACACAAGTGTTCCCGCTAAACTGCAGGGCAGCACAGCTTCACAGGTGATTAATCAGCCCCACCCAGTCAGCTCTGTGCATGGAGCCCTAACCCTCTGAATGGGCACAGCTGATTAATCACCTGTGAAGCTATGCTGCCCTGCAGCTAGAGGGAACCACTGGGGCTACATCTAGACTGCAAGCCTCTTTCGAAAGAGCCTTTTTCGAAATGTACTTTTGAAAAAGGATCTTTCAAAAAAGAGCATCTAGACTACAACCAGTACTTTCGAAAAAGCAAGCCACTTTTTTGAAAGCGAGCACCCAGGCAGTCTGCATGCTCTCTTTTGGAAAAGCCCAGTTTGTATTACATAGTGCCTTTTTTCAAAAGAGCACTTTTAAAAAAATAGACATTCTTCCTCATAAAACGAGGTTTTCTGCAGTCAAAAAAACTGCCCCGTTCTTTCGATTTACTGTCAACAGAACACAGCAGCAGTCTAGACGCATGGGAAGTTTTTCGAAAAAAGGCCACTTTTCTAGACATTCCCTGGGTGACACCAGGGGCCATTATCCAGGGCTCTGCAATCCAATAGGCACCAATTACGAGTGTTAGATTTGAATGTCCTGATGAATCTGCCTCTCACTCTGTAGCCCATGCAGTGCCTTGAGGTGTGGATGTGCAGAATAGGGCGCACAACTGCTGCTGCACCAAACCCACAGACAAGAGGCAGCCTGTGACAGATAACCAGCACAGAAAGTCACCATCGGGCAGAGCCCAAAAGAAGAGAAGATGTTGCTGACAGATTCTTGGTGGGTAGAAAAACCAGGTTGGCCTTCAAAATTTGGCCACAGCAGACCTCTAGCACAATGACTGTAAACTAGTTCTCGGGTAAGTACGACAATTAATTTACTAAGTTCATAATGAAGTCAAGACACATACATGGTGATGCCTGCAAGATAATAATTCACAAGATTCCTCAGTCATGTTAAAACTCTGAAATCCCTAACAATTCTTTGTTGTTGATTTCAGTGATTTAAATGTCTCACCTCAATCTTTAATTTTGATAGGAGACAAGATGTATAAATGGTTTCACATTTTTCTTGTCTAGATACAGAACTATAGGTGTCATAATACGTTGAGAAAAACATTTAATTTGATAATTATGAATTTACAGGGCAATATGCAGAGTTGTAACTGAGGGGAAAAAAGTCAACGGTCCTCTCTCAAATACAGGATATACACATAGTTTAAAGCCACTTAATTTAACATTCGAAACCTAAACCTAGAGCCCTTCATTGCTATTTGACCTTATTCCAGACCCAATTTCAAATTCTAGAGCTAGAAACAGCAATTTTCACACAAAAGAATTCCTATCTGTACCATGTAAAATCTGTATTACTATTTTGAGGAGTTTTAATAGAAGGTTTGGAAACGTGTATTTCAGATTTGTACATAAGGCTAAGTGCATAGAAGGTGAGGCAAAGCTAAAAATGATGATGCCATTCTTAAACAGCTACAAGATGGGTTTCCTCTTGCGGAAAACTGCATAAAGATCAAGGAAGAAAATATAAATTCCTATAGCTCCTTAAAGAGAGTGTCCCCCACTCACATCATCCCTAATATTATATTATGTTAGTTTATCTACATTAAGAAGGAAATAAACATACAATACCTAACTAGAAAGATTTACAGTTTTTATTCAAACCAAAATATAAACTTATTTTAGAAATAAAGTAACACTTGAGGAAGGTCTGATAAAAAAAAAAAACACTTTCCCAAAGCTGCTCTAACCTTTGCTTTACATCTTCCACGACAGCTAAACAAATTATTTAAGTGTGTTAAAATAACATTACATGATCTGTAGATGAAACAGCATTGTCAGACGTCAAGTTAACAGGAGGAACAGGAACATTTTATCGTTTTGTTTTTTTAAACCAAGTAAGCTACATTACAGAAGAAAGGAGACACACCTGGGAAAATTTTAAAAAGGTGGTCAGCTTCACCCTCCATAAAGCCATATGATGGTCACTAAGGACATGTCTACACAACAGGGCTAAACTCGAAATAAGCTATGCAACTTGAGCTAAGTCAATTGCATAGCTTAAGTCAAAATAGCTTATTTCAACTTTGAGCATGTCTACACAGCAGTTATTTTCAAACAGAGCACTGAAATAGAGCACACTTGCCCCAACTTCCCTTACTCCTCATATAATGAGGTTTACAGGTCAGAGTAGGAAGCTCGTTATTTAGAATTTATTTCAAAGTAACAGGTTTGCTGTGTAGATGCACACTATATTATTTTGGAATAACGCTGCTGTGTAGACATGCCTTAAACGTCCAGAGTCATTTTTTAAAAATTCATGTTAAAAATACCCTGGATGCAGAGAAATCACTCTGCTTTGAAAATGCCCTGGGCATTATTTAACCACAGTACAGCACAGTGTATTGACACATTAAAATATTTTCAACAGCAGATTGCTTATGTTTTTATTTACAGACTTGAAAGTAAAATTCTGTCTAGATCCATGAAAGCTTTTTATACTCAGATTCTGGTATATTTACTTATCTAGCTCCCTCATATGAAAGGAAAGATACAAACAGAAATCAAGATCTTTCCTGGGGAATTTGAAAGAAGAAATTCACACACACACAGTACTAATAATTTTAGTATATTTTGTTAAATGTGAGGTTTATGTTATTAGCAGTGCAATAGAAGACCAAGATGTATTAACTATCATAATAGTTACATATTATATTAATGGCCTTAAATTATGCAAATGGGTATTTGATACTAATCCTAAATCAACTGGTTATAGCCAGAGAAAGTTTTCAACTGACCCCAGATTATGTTGCCAAATGGCTTGAATAATATTTTATAATCACAGAAATAACATATGAAAGATACCTCTTTCAAGCCAGAGGTCATGCCTCCACTAATGTAGGTTTGCCCCGTGCAGATTATCTTGTTTGTATAGTTTTGTTTTATATGTTGCAGTGTTTCCTTATAGGTAAATACTGCCAGCCTCTTAATGGTATTTTAGTGCGGGGGGTGGGTCTCTGAATTGTTTAATGTAATAGTCATGTGTTAACCTGAACTGAATACCACATATTGCTTAATATCTTTATTAAAAGATTTTTAGAGTAGCTAGAAACTTCTACAAACACAATGTTGAATCAATAGCATTCCATAAAAATTAAGGACATGTCCCTGCTTCTCAACTTGAGGCATTTAGAGCTCTAAACAAAAGCTCTAATTCACTTACCCCCTTTAATTGCTTAGCTCACAAAGCGGATCATGCAGCCTGAAAGATTCACACACATTTTTTTGTAACTGCTACAGATTTTATGATATACTTGTTACTATAAAAAACTAATTTGGCTTTTAAGACCAGAATCCAAGGATAACATTTAAGGAAATAAAATAAATAATAAGCATCACAAATACAATAGCATATACTGTGAACAGAAAAGTGCTAATCTTCCAGCATCTTCAGTTATAGAGGTATCTGGTACTGACACTATGGTTACAGTTCTGTCATCAGCTTCATCATGAATATTTTTCAGGGGGTTATAATTTTCTCCAACAGGTATTTAGCATCTATCCTGAGAAAAACTGGCTAATCAATTAAGAAATTTGAGTCTTAAGCAACCTGTCTGACAGCTGCTGCAGCTTTATACAGTGCAAAAGGTTTGTATAATATCTTTTCATAAACATAATTTATAATCCCCTGAAAAAGAGTTGTCGTAAATATTAACATAATTCAAATACAGATTTTCAAATGGCACATATTTCGCATATGTAACAATTTCTGAGATTTCAATGGTGATAAAATACTTCTGAAGTGGGTACGGGCAACTCAATGTTTACCAGTATGAAAATTCATAGCAATGTCTAAACTAGATAGAACTGTGCCATACCTCTGGTGGACTGAGGAATATTTCATCAAACAGACTCCTAGATTCCCTAAACTGGCCGTGCTAAGCATGTAAAACAGAAAAAACATAAGACAAAAGAACTAAGGAAGAGTGTTACAAGAAAGCCATTTATTACAAACAAATCATTAAACTATTCTGAAAATTATTTTTTTCATTTAAAAGATCTTATAAATATCACTTGGTTTTCATTACCTATTTCCCTTTTAATATTCTAAACTAAGACTGCAATTAGAATTTTTCTAAAGGGATAAATTAATGAGGGGAAACCTATGGATAGAGAGGGCAGAGTAGCACATACACAAAAAAACCCGAAATGAAAATGAAAAACCAAAATAAACATTAAAAATTGCAAAGTCAAGCACTCAAAAGTTAGGAAATGCCATATATATTTTTTTCCCCAGTCACCTCCTCTTGTCTCAATTTGTCAGTTTTTTCTTTGTCAGCAATAAAAAGCACCACATTTCTGACTCAACATAAATTTTTATCCCAGGAATTGGAATAGTTAACTCAATGAATCCTCTCATCCCCACCCTGCTGGTACATACTAACTATAGAGAATGGGAAGGGGGGGGGGGTTGAGGAGTTTAACAAACAGCTGTACTTAAATAAATGCTCTACAGTTCTATAACTTCAAAAGATATTAAGCAACCAAAAGACATCACCCAAAAATTATTTTAAAAAAAACCAAACACGTGGGCCTACATTCTTTTTACATAACTTTAGAGAACTATACATTTTTAAAATCAGCTTCATCTACAGATTCCCCCAAAGATTTTTACACAGATATTTCAACTTACTCTTTGTGCAGCTTCGGCTGCAGCAGCTGCCATTGCTGCAGCTTTGGCTTTCTCTGCTTCATCATAAGTAGGAAGAGAGGTAGCTACACTATATGGAGGTGGTACAGGGTAAAATTCATTGTGTGTTTCTGTTTCTGTTAAAAACAAAAAGAATGAGATTCATGCTTTGTATCTCAAAAGAAAAAACAGAAAATAGTCTACAGCAATATTAATGTGCACTAAAGTAACAGAAGGGCTGGTGACATTTAAACTGTAGAGTCATTAATTTCAGTCTCTTTGTTTAACAGCAACTTGACCTATAAGTGTTTGCAGACATTGCAAGAAGTTTTTTGGTTAATTTTTTAAGAAAAGTTTACCCAACAGGCAAGAGTGATTCACAATTTAAAGAAGCCCAGAGTGACAACTCAAAAGTAATTTCATTAAAGTCTGACCTAGAAACTTTCTGTAGAAAGAGGGTGAAGAGTTTTGGAATTAAGTTTACAGTTTGCTAAAAAGCAAACAAGTGTTCCGCTCATACACAATTATTTTATCTGATGGTAGAACAAGGGTGCAAAGAAACATCAGAAAAAAAAGAGCTTGAGGTTCTTAATGTTAAAAAATAGACTCATGCTTACCCTGGACATATCACATCAGAGGCAAGACAACTGCTTGCTCTTCAAATGTTTCCGTTTTGATATGTTACTTTTAAAAAAGTAATACTTTACATAAAAGAATCATAGAACTGGAAGGAACCTCCAGAGATCATCAAGTTTAGTACCCTGCACTTATAGCAGGACCAAGCACTACCTAGATCAGGTATGAGCAATCATTTTTGAAAGGGGGGGTAGTGCCACCCGAGAAAGGTTGGGGCCTCAGGCAGAAGGGGCAGTGCCAGGAGCTGCAAGTCCTTTCAACTGCTTCTATTTAAGGGCTTGCGCCTTCCCTGCAGGAAGGAACGAACCCTTTGAATAGAAGCAGTTGAAAGGGCTCACAGCTCTTGGCCCCACCCCTAGCACGTGGCATGGCAACCGGGATTATATTGGTTTGTAGCTATTTATTCATGCAAGGAGTTTTACCATACTCTTTTTAACTTGCTTACTAGTACTGAAGTTCCCTGGGGGCCTTTTAAATATAAAGATAGCACATTTTTAAAAACAAAATATTAGCCAACTTTGTCCTCTGCTATCAAATTTGATTATATATAAAAGGGAAGTTACCTTGTGCAGTAATGGCAGTTCCTCAAGATGTGTGTCCTGGTGGGTGCGCCATTACCCATCTCAAAGAACCACTGTTACTGCACAAGGTGAGTAACTTCCCCTTCCTCGACTGATGTTCCCACGGGTTCTCCAGTGTTGATGACTACTTAGCGGTACACAAAGATGGAAGGTGGGCTTTGGCTAGGTTTTATGTGCGATGAAAGGACGCACTGGCTACCACAAAGTTAGTGTCCTCTATTGTAGAAATTGCATAGTGCCTCATGAAAGTATGATTAGAGGATCAGGTAGCAGCACAACAGATGTCTTTGAGCAGAACTCCCTTTAAGAAGGCTTTTGATGCTGTCACCACTCGAGTGGAGTGCACCCTAAGGGGCATAGGAAGAGGTGTGCCTCGGAGGGAATAACACTGGAGAATGCAAGATGTTACCAATTTTGAGACACACCGCAATGAGAGTGGCATTCCCCTGGAATGCTCCGCCAGTGAAACAAATGGCATCTGTGATTTTTGGAAGGGCCATGTACCATCTATATAGAACACCCTCCTTCAGGCATCCAGGGTGTCTAGAATAACCTCTTCTCAGGGAGCAAGAGGCTTTGGGCAGAAAGCCAGAAGAACGATAGAGCTAGATATGAGTCAACAGTGTGCCCTTGATGTGGAAATTGAAACGGTAGGTAGGTAGGTAGGTGGGTGGGTGGGTGGGAGGGAGGAAGGAAGGAAGGAAGGAAGGAAGGAAGGAAGAGGGCAGAGAACCATCAACTGGAGGGTGGAACACTGCAAGCATAAGTGATGAAACTGATGACCATGTTGTTGCAGGAACATAAAGTAGTCGAGGACTGTATGGTGGGAGGTAGTCAAGGCTTGGATGTAGTTTCTCTCACATCAGGCCATAAATTGCCTCCACTTATAAAGGCAAGTGGTCAGATGTCTACGGTGGAGTAGGACATTCCTTACTTATTATGAACACCTTTGTTCTGCCTCTGAGAACCAGAGAGGAGCCATGCCATCAGATGTAGTGTCTGTGGTTGCAGGTGGCAAAGGGTGCCTCTGTTCTGCGAAAGGAGATCTGGGCAGGTTGCAAGAGGGTAGGGAGATTGGAGAAACAGGGGTAGAAACAGGGAATCCAGATCTGTCTGGCCCATGCCGGGATAGGAGGATGACTACGGCATTGTCTGACTATCTTGTGGAGGACTCTGGGGATGAGCAGGATGGGAGGAAAGGTGTCGAAGAGGTGAGTATTCCATGGAATAAGAAAAGCATCTCCCAAAGATCTGGGTAACATGCCTACCCTGAAGCAATACTGAAGGCACTTGGTATTGTGGCATGTTACAAAGAGGTCTACCAACAGCCAACCCCATCAGTGGAAGACATTGTGCAGGATCCTAGTATGAATTTCCCATTCATGTTCTATTGCAAACTGGTGACTAAGGGTATCTTCAATAACACTCTTGACGCCAAGTAGGTATGATGCGGTGATGGTAAGATTGTTGTGGATACACTAGTTCCACAGGCATACAGTCTCTGAACAGAGCGCAAGAATGTGTACCTCCCTGTCAATGGATGTAAAACGAGGTAGTGAAACTGTCTGTAAGGATGCGTACCATGGAACCCTGGATGTGTTGAAGGAAGTGTTTGCAGGTGTTGTGCACAGCTCAGAGCTCCTGAAGACTGATGTGGAGCCTGGACTCATTGGCAGACCATTTGCCCTAAGCAAAGCGACGTTGGAAACAGCATCCCAGCCGAAGTGCGATGCATTCATGGTAATGTGGCTGGATGCCTGTGTCTCATGAAATAGGATACCAGGTATGAGGTTCCTTAGATTGATCCACCAGTGCAAGAACAAAACGACACTCAGGGGAACTGAGATGTGACTGTGCACACAGTGTTTGGACAGCGTGCAGACCAAGGCAAGCCAGCGTTAAAGGCACCTGAAGTGCAGACACGTATGTCAGATGAAGTATGCTGTAGCAGCCATGTGTGCCATAAGCTGAAGGCAGGTAAGTATTGGGATCGTGGGACTCAATACCCTGGCTGGAGCCAAGATTTTTATTGCTTCAACGCGTTGGTTTGGCTCGTGCTGTGGTACAATCAAGACAAGCTCTATGAATTCTAGGGATTGGGTCGGTCAGAGGGTAGACTTCTGCTCACTGATAATCAGGCCGAGAGATTTGAAAAAGCCCTTGGTAAAGAGCATCTCTCGTGGCCTCCTGTGAAGGGCTGCAAATGAGACATTTTTTAGGTATGGAAATATAATGATGCCTTTGCTGCTGCTATAGCCAAGGTCTTGGAGAAGACTCTGGGAGCAGATGAAAGTCCAAAAGGCAGAACTCTGTAACTGGTCTGAAGACAGAGAAAAGTGGAGGAAGTGTCTGAGAGTTGATATATGGTTATATGAAAATACGCATCTTGGAGGTCGAGTGCTGCAAGCCAGTCTCCCTCCTCCAGTGCCAGGGTAATTGCCACAAGTGAGACCATCTTGAATCACTGTTTGCGGAAGTATTTGTTTAGATGGCGGAGATCAAGGATGGGTCTCCAGATGCCTGTTCTTTTTTCTGTGAGGAAGTAATTTGAGTAAAATCCCCTGCCCTGATATTGCCCGGGTACCCTCTCTATAGCTCCTATGCGTAGGACACCTCTTGAAGGAGCAGAATTCGAGAGGGGGATCTCTGAAGAGAGATGGGGAAGGTTGGAGGAACTGAAATCAGAGCAATAGAATATCTGCACTTTATCATCTCTAGGACCCAGCGGTCAGTGGTAATTGCTGCCCACTGGATGTAAAAAGGGCACAAATGGTGATGGAATATGGCATATTTAGAAGACACTGGTTGAGTGGAGAGATTGTGCAGGCCACCAACCAAAGCCTCAAACCTGCTGCTTGGAGGTTGGATGAGTGTTATTGGTTCGTTGGCGCTGGTTTCTTTTCCTGGCGCGATTACAGTCGAATGGCCTTTGATATTGCTGCCTACCAAATGTCAAGTCTCTCTCTCTCTGGCAGGAAGTACACCGTCTCCTACGACATGGGGGCATATACATCCCCAAAGTGTGTAAGGTGGTCTGCAAGTCCTTGCTGGAGTGAAAGACTTCATCTTTTTTTTTCACAAAGAGCTTATCTTTCTCAAATAGTAGATCCTCCACTTCGGTCTGGAGCTCTTTGGGGACCCTTACTGCTTGTAATCACAACACATGCCTCATCACAATAGATGTTGCAGTTGCTCTCACAGCTGTGTCAGCAGAGATGAACACCATTTGCAGTACTGTGCGAGATGGAGTATCGCTTTCCTGCACTACAGATTCCTTAATTTGCTCCATATTCACATACTAACAAACACAACAGTTTCAAGATATTTAACTTATATACCCAAGTGTACAAAATATTAATTCATTGCAAAACCAAGCAATATTAGAAAATGTATAGATTTGCTTTCCTTTATACTGCAGCATCAGCATATAACAGGTTTCTGCAGCTGACAGTGATGGTAGCACAGGTGTTTCTCTTGCAAATACTTCCTATGTGCAGACACATATTCATGATATTCACAGGGGAAATGTTTGCAGGATCAGGGCCGCAATGCATACTTCGGGACTACTCTGAACAAGAGCGAACAAGCAATTGTGGAATTAAAAGTATACACATATCAGATAATAGTAAGCATGAAAAAGATGGGATCATATTACCCCACAATGAGTAGCTGATGGAGAGATGCAGATATCCTCAAACAGTACTACTAGCTAAAGCGGTTACATAACCAAGAAAAAGTACCTGAGGTCACAGCTGCTTCTCCAGAAATACTACAGTAAGGTGGAGGAGAAACATCTGCTTCAGATAAAGTTGCTGGCTGAGAAGTTTGTGCAATCTCTGTAGAAGTGGATGGTTGCTCAACTGTAGATTCTGGAGGATCATCTTCATTGTGAAGCTTTAAAAAAAAAAAATCCACATTTCAGAAGATTCTTTACATACAAGTTAAATGTTGACATTAACCTCTTCAGATTTTATTGAAGAATAGCAATTTACCACTATTTTTAGGTTACTGGAATCATTTAAAGCTTCTACTAATAAATTCAGGGATTATGCTAATATACCCAACAGTTAAGATTTAACAGACACAAGACGCTTTTATCAAAGTGCTTCCAAGAGTAACCTTTAAACAATCACTTCAAAAGTACCTCAGGTGTTCAGTACAATTCCATTCTATTTTAAAGCCTATCCTGCTAGTTTCTGAAACTTAAAATGGGTTTCACTAAACACTCAAGTGCAAAGCCTTGGTTTTTTGTTTTTTTTAAAGTATTAAAGATTCTAAATCATTAAAGAATTCATGATGTGTAGATCAGCGGTTCTCACTTGGCTCACTGCAAACCTTTCCACGGACCACCAGTTACTAATGGAAACTCTCCATTAGCTACATAATTATGCCCAAGCCATTCTGCGAGTGACGCAGCTAGAGAGAATGGTTTAATTTAAAATATTAAACAGATGAAGTGTTAACTCTATTTAAAATGAAGTTTGGGAAACTAACCAAAGAAAAATATTAATTGATGACCAACACAAAATGTTTCAATGTTTTTCTTTATTTATGGCAGAGACCACTGACCAACAGAAAAATCAGATGGGAACCACATAAGTGAGAAGCAAAAAAAAACAAAAACAAAAAAACAAAAAAAAAACCTCCTCCAAAAATCCCCAATCCTCACTCATATGGCTCCCAATTGAGACACCTCACTCCTCAGGTGCTCTAGCCCCATAGGGTGAGGGGGAGAGACAGGGAGGACTGCGGTTCAGTGTTCCGATAGACATAGGTGTTCATAGCACATTTCATTAGGGTGTGAACCCAGGGAATTTTATTTTTAAAAGGCGAACATTTCCTGAATACTCAGTCATAAAGGACATTATTTTTATTCATCAAACAAACTAAAGAAACTAAACTCAACTGAACTTTAATTTTTAAAAAAATTAAACAACTAAACTTTATTTAAAAGAGTGTATCGTGCAATTAAAACAAAACGCAAAGCCGCTTTTTTTTTTTTGAGACATTAGGGTGTGCCTGGGCACACCCAGCACACCCCCTCCACACGCCTATGCCCATAGGTCAGATTTACTCTTCCAGGGTTCTAGGGCTAGTGGATTTTGTGTTCTCTCCCTCCCCTCCCCCCCTCAGCTCTGGGATGGGGACAAAAAATGACGGGTTCAGCATGCAGGACAGGGCTGCCAGTGAGTGGGATAGGGATGCAGGATCTGGGTGGGAGGTGGGGTGCAGGAGAGGGTGAGGGTGCAAGGGCTGGGTAGGAGGTCAGATGCAGGAGCAGGTTGGGGAACAGGGTGTCTGGCCAGGAACAGGGTCTAGGAGCAGGCTGGGGGTAGAATGTCTGGCCGGGAGGAAGGTGCAAAAAGGGGGAGGGGTACAGAGTCTGGGCATAAGAGAATGGGGGGGATGGGGGACACACTTATTGCTTTCACATGCTGCGCTGCTCCCAGTCATGCGTCCCTGATTCCGCCAATAGGAGCAGCAAAGAAAGCCTCCAGACAGCACATCCATGCTGTTCCCCCCACCTGAAAAGAGGGAGCAGCAGCACACAGAGCTGCTCCTGGCTCCGCTTCTTCCTTGTGAGCTGGATCCAGAAGGAAAGTTGGGGGCTATCTCCTCTCTCCTCCCTGCCTCACCAGCTGGGAGCC